CTACTTCTAAATTCAAGAAAATTGTGATAAACGAAGAGTAAATAACTTTTTATACACACTGAACAACTCCAAGAAAAGTGAAATTAAATAAGAGTAGAAGCACATAAATTTTAAGTGTTGAAATTGGAAAGAATACTAGCATGTAATAAAGAATGAGCATGTCCTTTACAGGCTTACTTCACTTTCATGAGTTAGTAGATAGTTGACTGGGTTTAAGTTTCCAACCGTGTGAGAGATGCAAGTGAGTGCATCAATTGCCTCTACTGCTCAGGTCTTACATTGATGGGAAGTAGAAAGCTTTCCTTGGTTCCTTTAAGTACTGGTCAGTCACTATTTTTTAGGAAAGTAGTATATCGAGACAATTGTCTATTGCTCAAAAGTAAATGAGCAGTGCTATCATCAAAATTGTCTATAATTTTTATCTATGGTTACTCCAAGATAGTGAATTACGCAGGCAGCAAACTTCTCCATCCGACACTCAGGAGTTTATAATCTTTCAGAAAAGTAGGACACAGACACGTCTGTGTAAATTCTTTAAAATTATGAAGGAAGCTCAGTTTTTCGAGTGACCCAACTTGATTATTTATATACTACATATTTAGTTTTATTTATTTTTTATATTTCAATAAAATCAATGCTTCTTTTAGATTTAACTTTAGGTTGTGAGATCTTTTGGATTAGAGGAGCGTCTATTTGTTTTACTAACATTATTTTTGGGTTAAACTATACATTAATTTTCTAATTTTTATATTCTAAAATTTACAAAATGGAGCTTTAAATGCCCTTGATGTGTGGAGATGTATTAGAACTACAAAGAATAGGAAAACTATAGGACACACCATACAGGTTGTCAGACACATGCTCGACGTGTGTTCGGGAAGTGTCTATATCCATTTTACATCATGTTACTATATCTATCTATATTCGAAAATGGTATGCTTGAACTTCACTTATTTTTCATCATACAGTTTCTACCATCTAATTGTATGAAGTTAAACTCCTTTGATGCTATTTGTGCATTTCTTAATAACCAAATCAAGCACCATTAATTCATGTTGTGTGGTTAAGCTCTCACTAGGAATGACTTTGCAGTTCTTGCATGAAGACCTATCCACGTTCATAGTATGATGTCTATTTGATTGATATTTGCCCATTTCTAAAATTTAGAGGCGAATCTGCTTTTGGAGCACGTGATCATCAATACCAAATCACAAGTCAAAACAAACACCAAAACTGCAAAAAACATTTCTTCATTTCGAGCCTAAAGTCTATTTTTTCATAAATTCTATGTTATGTTTCGATAACATGGCTGTACAAATCTCCCCCAACGAAGATCTTATCTTCACTGGGGACTGGTTGAATCAATCTATCCATGTCTTCCTCCAACGTTGCTTTGTTATCTTGTCTACATGCTATATATAGAGGATGCACGCTAAATTGCTAATAACACTTGAAAACGATTTTTCTCCCAAACAAAAATAAATCTATTGCAGATCTGTTTAACTTCTACTGTCTCATCTTTAAACTCTGTTAACCGGTTATTTGATTTTCTGTTGATTTCTATAATTTTCTTTGCCTTTATACCAAAGTTAATATCCCTTTTTACCTAATTATTCCTCTCTCCTATCTATTTAACCTCCTGTATGCGAGCTATGTTTAGTTTCCAACATATCTACTAGTTTTAGGATAAATTAAAAATATTATTTTAGGTTCTTATCCTAATTCAATTATTCTCAAATAATAACTTCTTTAGCCATCTTCCTTCATTACAGCGTGGGAACCCTTGCTTACTTTTAAACTTCTCTGGTTGCCAAAGTGCCATGTCACTTTTGCAGTATGCCCTACCATCCCTTACTTTTCACTATACTTGGAATTCTTTCTAGCTCGTTGCTAGTAGGGGATGCCCAGACAAAAGTTGTAGATTGTTTCATGTCAGGAGATGTAACACGTTAGAAACATAAGCACGAGGTCAATACATCACAAACAAAGACGAAAATTTTTCCCTGTATGGCTGTATCCCCTCAGTATTATTGATATGTTACTATGGGGGCTGTAAATATATTAAATTGGAAAACAATATATTTACATTATTTGGTAGATAATTTAACACTATAAAGTATCTAATTTCACATTTCAAGCCTCACCATTGACGATTCCCATGATGAAGTTAATCAAATTTACCCCAATTACGAATTCAGTTTAAGCATGATTTATTGATCTGACTATTTGAAGAGTGCATGTGAATGGAGACCCTGAGGGTTTTAAGTTTACCCCAACAGTTAAAATAAAAATTCAACGATGAAGCAAACAGTTTTATCCTTCAAGCTCTTCTACGACATGCTTTACTCACCATTATCTTGGCATTTTAAACACGGTTATCTTATTAGGGCATTGTATTAAATGGCCACTAAAGCTTCTTACATTTAAAGCTGATTGATTAAAATACATGTCATGATCATGATTACATACGATTATAATTCTGTAGGACAGGAGCTTTATAGAGATCAAGCTTGAATCTTTCCTGAACTCTGCTGTGTAACTAGGAATTCATGAACTTGATACCCTTCTGGCGCCCTAGGTGGCAAATTATGTATCCTAGTTTTATGCTAATACACAATAATACAGGCTTTGTTGGTCACCCTGAAAATCAAGACAGTTCTTGATTCAAATTGTACTTCGGTGCTAATTATTTTTCAATAGCCACTTTAATTCGTATGTTTGAATTTTTTGCCCCTACACTATATTCCGCCACTGTTATTATAGCATCGTCTTTCATTGTAGCAAATATTAATATTAAGTAACTCGAGTTTTTAATTTCTGCAAACTACTTTTTATGCTTTTTCAAAACAAAAGGAATTCCTATCCAAACAAAGAATAAAAGCTTCGTGCTTGATCAAATTGGGGGTTCCTGAAGTATTTCACGTTAAAATTTTAGTTATGGCGTTATAGAAGTTCTGGGGTTCTTTGAAATTGATTGTTTAGTCTACTATTCTTTTTTTTCAGATATAGATATAAATTCGTTCACGATTGGAGTTGCCAATATCTGGCAGGTATGCTTCCCTGATTTTTTTTATCTCTTAATGGTTACATCTTATGATGTGATTGACACTATATGAAAATTATGCAGGAGTCACATGTTTACAATGTTTTGTCTGGTCATTATGCTATTCTCAAAACATAGCTCTGCAAGAACTCTCATATTTTTACCTTGAATATAATGATTTTGAAAAGGAAAAATGGATTTCAGTATTGGATACCTTCCTATTAGTGACTTACAACTACAGTTTATAAGGCTAGATATGGACTTGAATGATGTTTCGATGCCTCAGAATATATGGGCACTTGGATGGAGAATCAATTTTTCAGTCTTATGTGAGGAGACACTGAAATTGGTGAATAAAGTTACCATATCATTAGAAATTTCACTAGTTTAGAATCTAAATGAAGGAAGTATTTACTTGCTGCAACGTGCAGGAATACATTTATTTTCATTCAATGGAAAAAGAACATAACAGTTGTAAAAATATAGCTACTTATAGGATGGAAAACCAAACAAAGTGAGTGGCTCAGAAATGTTACAATGGAATGATGCTTGGGGACAGCTTACCAAATAAGAGATTTAATTAGCAAAGGATACCCTGGGTATAATTTGAGAATATTGTCTTGATTCTGCAACACAATTGAAGTTATTGGACAATCCTAAAAGGGAAAAATGGTTATACAAATTGAATGAAGGGAGCGATAAGGTAATGAATGAAAAAGGAAGCTTGTATAAAGAAAAAATAATTATAGAACTGAACATTAGGGGGAGGGAGGGAGGCAGTTCTTTTAGAATAATGCAAAGTTCTCATTGTACGATATCAATGATTTTGCAGTTGGCTTAGGACTGTTTGAAACTGCTATCCGAGTCCAAAGGCTCAGATTGTCTTTTCTGTCAATGCATCAACAGGTATGTGGCTGTAACGCTTTACACTTTTTTGTTCCATTTCTCATACTTCTTAATTTGTACCTTTTTTCTTCCTAAGGCCTAAATGGCATATTACCCTTGTTGATTTGGAAAATGGAATACCTGTCAATTATCATTTAAAGATGGGCAACTCACTCCCTCGTGGTTTTCGATCCAACTAGTTGCTCTTGTTAGTTCCTAACAATGAGCATAGGACACTCACAATGAAACAGTGTGTGCATTGCAAAAGCTTCATTCTTAAAATTGTGAAAAAGAGAGGAGAACAGCTTACTCCCAAATGCTTGGCAGTTGCCACAAAGCAGCCCTCAACTATCAAAGCCATCAAATATTACCTTCAATGCCAACACTACTATGATCGCAGATCAATTTATTTGCATTCAAGAGGATTTCCTCAAATGATATAAATCCTGACTAACATTTTTTATGGGCTTTGGCTGAATATGAGGAATTACTTTTCCTACCTAATTTTAGATCTGTCTCTAAATCATCATCTTATTCAACAACAGATTCCAATATCTAATGAGGGCCAGTATATTTAAGCTAAGGATTGGCGCAGTTGCTAATGTGTTCTTATTTCCACCTTTGTACGGCTTCAATGAGGAATGCCAGTGAAATGTTCCCTATACCACCACCAGCACCACCTTGAAGCAGCTTTTGTATTTTAATAATGAAAAACCCACTTCAGTCCCAGCTGTGAAGTGCTGATCTTGACCGAACTATTACTTATCACATCATCAACTCTGATGTATACATGGAGATACTGTTCTATTATGGAAGTAAATATAATTAGATTGGGTTAACAGAGGGGGATTAACTAGCCAGGTTTCAATGTTTTGTGGTGTTGGGCGCCTACTTAATCCTTATGAACCTTTGGTCCCCCTGTAAAATGATTGTGAGAGGAATGGACTGACTGTTGAGTATGGTATTCTCATGCTAGGGAAACACATTACTGCTTAATTTAGTAGTTGATCATCCGTTTCCTTCTTTGAATAATATGCAGGGGATATTGCTCTACTTGGATAGCTTCTGATTGATGGATCCTGATAGCAAGAGATTTGGAAGAGGTACCATTTGTTAGAATGTGAAGTTTGTTTGTTTACACTTTGTTTGTATATCACGACGTGTGTTTAAAATCTTGTTGCACGCTCCGGCTAAAAATAAAGCTATCATGGATTAAATATGGTTGATATTAACTTCATATATTATTATTAGGTATTTACATAAATTAAGAATTTGCATATATTAAATGCATAATTTCAGCTTCATGGTGCTGGCTTGTTTTAAGTAAGGTTCTGACATTATGGAAGCATGTGTGGTATAGAATTCAGACACTAATGTAGCAGTTGTATGCATTATTGGAGAAATGTTGTGGTGAAGCTTCTTTTGAAAGAAACAAAGTTGTGAGGAATTGATGGAGATGGAAATAGAAGTAGATAAGATCTTGAAATAAGAGTTTAATTCAAATTATGATTGTTTATATTAGATTAAATTAGATTTAATATTTTGATAAAGTTCTAATTTAGTAGTAGTTCTTTTGATTTTAGATTATTCACTCTATATATAGAGGACTCATTCATTGTACTATGCACACTTGATTATATGAATAAAACTATTTCTCTTTTCCTAAAAATTCTTCTCTTTGATCCCTTCTCTTTCATCTTCTTGTTCTTTGTCAAATTAGTACGCTCCTGCGTATGCCTTCATTTCTTGTGTATTTCATATTACACATATGATTTTGTAACTTCAATCAATTGGTTGTGTTTTGAAATTAGGACCAAGAGAACTTACGGGTGCAGTGAATCTTATTAGCCATTACAAGTTGTTGCCTCACCATGAGTTTTTCTGCAAGAGATCACTTCCCATATCAATTTCCGACTCACATTACCTTCACAATGTGGTTGGAGACACAGAAATAAGAAAAGGAGAAGGGATGCAATTGGATCAGCTCACTCAGGATACATCTTTTTTACGAGAGACTAATGTTACGATACAGCCATTTGACTTGGATGTTCTCAGAGAAGCCTTTCAATTCAGGGAAATGATTCCAGTTGTACTACCACCTGTAAGAAATTCACTGCTTCTGAGGCTTCGACTAAATTCTGAACTTTTGATTCAGCATGTTAAATCCTTCCCCCCTTGTGACTTGAATTTCCGTCGTTTAGGCTCCTGAACTCGTGCTCTTTAATCATACTAATATTTATTGCCACATTTTTTTGCTACTCTTGGGAGTACTAATGTGGTATCTTGTGATGCTTTATAGTCTGAGAAGGGTACTCCTGTGGTTGCCGGAAAATCTAAAAATGAGTCTAAAGAAAAGGAGAAGAAGCATAAAAAGCACAAGGACAAAGATATGGAGAAAGATAAAGAGCACAAGAAGCACAAGCATCGCCATAAAGATCGAAGTAAAGACAAGGAAAAGGAGAAAAAGAAAGATAATGGCGGCCATCATGATTCTGGCACTGATCACTCAAGGAAACATCATGAGAAGGTTTGTAAATATTTTATTTTGTGATTTTTTTCTTGTGAAGAGAGAATTCTATGCTGAAAGCTTCTGGTAATGGGCGAATTTTTAGAAATGGATTACCATTTTCTATGAACCACTGTTTTCCTGTGATTTATGTTTTCCCTTGCCTATTGTCTGGTTATTAAAGTAGTTCTATGTTCAATTAATGAGACCGAAATGAAGATATCTTCTTTAGACACAAGAAGGCAATTTTTGGGGATGTCAACAAGTCGGATTTGATTTGTATCTGGTTCAGTCATAGCCTTTCTTTTGAAGTTTTCTTTAAACCATTTAGACTCTTCTCCTACAGCATGAGTATTCTATCACTGTATGCACTTAATAAAATTCTTTATGATCTTAGAAAAGGAAGCATGGTGGAGATGAAGATATCAATGACATTCGCAAACACAAGAAAGTTAAGGTAACAGGGGACAATCAAAGCGGTTCTTCTATTCCTTTATTTTTATTTTATTTGTGTATTCTGAGATATTGTGCAGAGATTATCTCATGGGTTATGTTATTAACCCTTCCATTTCCATAAATCATAATTTCCTTGATTAGTGCCATCTTTTTACGCACTACAATGTTGCAGCACAAGAGCTCAAAAATTGACGAGATGGGTGCAATAAAGGTAGCAGGATGAAAGGAGCAAGTGATCTGTTATTGTTTTTTCTGCTCAGATGTAGCAGTTGAGAATTTGAGGGATCTGTTTCTTTCCATTGTCAGATTATCTGAGGTATACATTAACACATTAATGAAAGTTTAATTTTTCAACTTCTTGTATCATTGTCATTCTTCACCCTGCATGGCACAAACCTTTTACTATAGTGCTAACACGTGTATATACAGATGTTGGCCTTTATTAGGTCATCTTTCTCATCCTACGCAGAAATTGTGAACCTAATATGAAAAGAAGTGGGGTGGCATCTCCTTTTGATGATGAAGGATAAGCTGACACAAAGCAATTTCTATAGGCTTAGTCACGTGTCAAATGTATTAGTTCTTCTTCTAGGAATGAATAAATGATAGAATAACTCACCACCCAAGTAGAAATACCCCATGAATACAATTATTTCCATCCAAAGAAAAATCTAAGTAAATTCAAGAATAAGGACTTGACAACTCATATGTAGTAAATACAAGAATAAGGAACTGGCAACACATCAAAGAGAGAAGGGTGACACCTTTCAAATAAAAAGTAGACTTATGCGTTTGATGAATATTATTGAGGAAAGAATGTATTTTAAATAGTGATATGACGAGAAATATGTGGTTAAAAAGTGAGGAAAAATTATTGATGTGATGGAAAATATTATTTTATTGAAGAATGTGTGGTTGAAAATGAATTTTGAAAGAATACGTACCAAACATGGGCTAAATATCAAAATAACAAAAAAATAGTGTTCAAAGTAAAATCAAACCTCATATTTATACTGATTATAGGTGGATGCTACTTAATGTCCATACATGTATCCTACTAATGACACGTATTTATGAATATAGTCATCCATTGTGTACAAGAATAGATATCTTAAGATAAATAGGATTTAAGATAGAGTTTGATTTAGACTAGATTAATTAATTTTGATAACTGTGATTTTGTTATTTTAATACTGCATTCAAAAAATAATTGTTATTTACTAGAAGCTCTATTAGACTTTAAATCTTTGTTCTATAAAGAGGGCCTAGCTTTTACTATTCCACACGACATCATGAATATTGAATGGCAGATTTTCCTGTTAAACCTGTCATCTTTCTCTAAGTTTCTGTCCATTTTCTCCTTCTCTCTTCCTATTTTCTCTCATTCTCTTTCGTTGTCACATTCTGCATCAAAAATCATTGGCTGATTGGTTTGAACGTGAGTAAAAATTCCGCTTCTCTGAAGATAGAATAGAACGCTAAAATTGAGAGCAGTTTGACTTCTCTTCCTTCAAGTTGGTAATTATTAATTAATCACACTCCTGTGTGTCGGATAGGTTTTATGGTCTTATCCCTCCTTTTTAACTAGTTTCCTTCTCTGTGCATTCTTCTTATTTGTCTACAGGACTTCGTCCACTCTTTTTTTTTGCATATCATCTGAAGTTTTGGAGTTTCTTAGCATGATGCTAGTCATGCCATTCTGTCTTTTACTAATTGTTGTGGGCTGAAATTGTGACGACTATTTGTATACTTGTGACTGCTTTAACTTCCCTTATGAAGAAGTTGTTGGTACAAATATTTTGGTACTCCTAACATTTAACTTGATTTTTAGTTTTGAAAAATTTCTATTACTACAGAATTATTTTACCGAACCCTTCGTGTGTATTATGGGATCTAAGTTCGAACTATTACTAAAGAATTCTTTAAAAACTCTTACATATACTTGCATAGCAAAAAATTGATTCTGTTGTAGATAATACGGCTACTGTACAGTAAGGGAAGAACCTTCTATTTCCATCTCAGTTGTAAGTTATGATTAAAATTCCTGGTGAAGTATTTCTCATCAATAAAAAATAATATCAGTCGAAACTTAAGGTGGCTGATTAGTTAACTGGCTGTAACATGTGAAAACTTTGTTTACAGGCTATTTTCTTTTGATTGCAACAAATTAGCTTCTTTATGCAACGAAATTGTCTTGCTTTCACCGTCTCTCTCCTTTTGCTGACATTATGCACAGATCTAGTATCATACTTCTCAAATCATTCGTTTGTTATTATTGTTTCATTGTCTTTGCCATGCAGAATTGTTTTTGGGCTTTCTAAAGATTGCCCTAGAAGGTGAATGCATTTGTTGAAGTAGACTTTAGTTCGGGGTACAAAATGCTGAAAAGTGAACTTTGTTGTATCATAGCGAGAACCCTCGAGATAGTTTATGCATGAGATATGATTATATGGTACATAGGCGGACATCATAGCCTATCCTATCAATGTTAGATATGCTTGTAGTTTAAATGGTAGATTTCAATCAATTCATTGCTCTTGACATCACTTCAACGAAAGAATATCATCAATTTGGATGATGCTTGTAATAGGGAATTTTAAAGTTAATTTTCGACATCTTATAGTATGTAATATTCGTAGCTTCATCACATATTTGGTTTAAATGACTCTTCAAATGCACAGAATATGGCACATGCCTTGAAAGCATGGTTTAGAACGAGTTGGCTATAGAATCATTGTGTGGCCTATCCTATTATTCTTTCATGTGGTGGAATGGATCCATCTAAATTATTCTTAGCAACATATTGTTTTGCTAAGAACATATCTCGACCTTCTCATTCAAGTGGGAGCGGTCGATCTCAGGGTGACATGATTATGGCCAACTGCCATTTCAAAAGAATACTAAATTAAAAGAAATCAATTGATGTATACTTTGGCTTGAAATTGGATGACAAAAATATTTGTAAATCTATTTGGTTTCCAAACTAGATTTCCACTGAAACAAACGGAAACATGTGCTCAAAAATACTCTTGCCGTTTATGAACTGTTATACTAGCTCAGAAACAATTTCTTGTAATAGTTGATAACCTAACAAGTCACGGCTATTAACAGAATTGAGGATGAGTCGAGCCGCTTGGCTCAGCTCATGCCCAAAGCAAGTCACCTGCACACGGGGCGAGCTGACTCGTTTTCTCAAATTCTGACTTGCAGGCAGCCAACCTATCAATTTTATTTTATTTTTTTGAATAAGAAGGAACGAAGATGGATGCATTAGAGACCCCGCGAAGCTTTATCTTGCGATTAATTGATGCCTGCATCAAAGATGCAGTGCTAGTACATATGAGAATTCTTAAATGTAGGAACAACCTCGAGATTTTGAAGGCTTTTGACCAACTTTATATTAGGCTCTTGTTTGAGCCACATTTTGAGAGAGAATGCATTTTTGAATAGTGATTTTTGGATAATGTAGGGTTAAAACTTAAAGAGAAAAAAATTGATTTACGTATAATATTATTTTATTGAAAAATATGTGTTTGAAAATGATTTTTTTAAAAAATGAATTTTAAAAAAAAGGACTCAGACGACCCACCTTTCCATAAATAGTTATAAAATTACATGTCTAAAATTAAGTCCCTGTTTGACACACATTTCTTAAAAATACATTATTTCAAAACTCATTTTTAACCACACATTTTTCAATAAAATAATATTTTTCATCACATCCATAACTTTTTCTTTAACCACATTTCCCATCATATCACTATTTAAAATACATTCTTCCTAAATAATATCCAACAAACACCACCTTAGGTTCTACTTGGTCAGCATATCTTGTGCTCCCCCTAATTAAGGCTCTAATTGGTTCAGCTAAAAAGTTGGATTAAAATCTAAATCAAAGTCAACAATTAATTTTAACCACGTATTTCATGAGATCTCCAAGTTTTCTATTATACATTCTATCAATTTTTATCAAAAAGTCTAAACCAGCAATATTAGTGTTGTGGAACATAAATACTTGGGCACGAAAATATGGCAAACAAGGAAAATAACAAGTAATGGAAATCTAGATAGCAGATAGAATGATGATAAGCGTATAACGCCCATTACCTATCAGTAGAGAAATATGGAAAGCGGGAAAGGTCAATAATGAAATACATAAAAAAAAGGAGGTAGTTTGGCTTTAGCTTATTTCTAGGAAAAAAGCAATAGAATTTGTTGTCAACAAAAACAAGAAACAAGCAAATTCTTTTACATCTTTCCTAGAATTAAGCTGGAGCCAAACTGCTCCAAGAGAGAGGGAGAGAGACCAACAAATATTTCTATATATATATATATATTTCATCCTGCCTTATTATTTTATCATTTAACTATGCACATTAGTTTAAATACATATCAATTTTATTCTACTCTTTACTTGTCATCCACATCTTGCTTCCTCATTTCTCTAAATTAAGCACTAGTGTGAAAAATGGCAATGTATAGGCTGCAGAGAGGTTCTTTTCTCTTCATTTTCTTGTTTTTTGTGGTCATTTTCTTGGCAGAGTTTTCACAAGGGGATGAAAAACCAGTTGGAACAAAACTAGAGTCGATTCACATACACGATTTTCGATGTGCCAATGGGATGCAGCCTATAAATCAATTTGAGCACTTCAGACAGTTACTCGATCGTGATATAATTAGCCATAAAAAAATAGAAACCGACGACAAGCCTGGGAGCATCCCAACGCCAAACAAACCTGCACAAACAATGTTTCTGGGGATATGGCATTCTAGTCGGGGGCTGATTTTGGGTCAGGAGAATACTTCGTGTCCTTGTCAGTTGGATCACCTGCACAAAAAGTTGTCCTGATAGCCGACACAGGGAGTGACTTAACTTGGGTGAAATGTAATTATTGGTGCAATAGCACTAGCTGTGGGGAAAAATCTCGAAAGCTGAGAATTTTTCGTGCGGATCAATCGACGTCTTTCAATACCGTGCCCTGCTCTTCAGGAATGTGCAAGAATGAGCTTACAGATCTCTTCTCTATTCCTGAACAGTGCCCTTCTCCTCATACTCCTTGCGCCTATGAATACAGGTAAATGTGAGTTTACTTCTATTTTTCATTTTCCTTTTTTTTTTGTGTGGATCATGATCACATAGCATTTCTTATGGGATTGATTGTTGGAAAAAGAATGCTATATGTGTACAAAGTGGGGAGATGTGGTGGGGTGAAATGATAAGACAGTTAAATGTGTGGATATGAGATCAACTTTATTGGCTTCATGAGGGGTGATTGTTGGAAAATGAATGCTATATATGTACAAAGTGGGGAGATGTGGTGGGGTGAAATGATATGTGTGAACATGAGATCAACTTTATTTAATGTCACCTCCTAGGAGGACCATCCTCACTTAGTACATTTAGCATTACTCTAGTTGGAAATGTGAACGAAATTCTCAAATCGACTAGATGGGAGATGGTCTTAGATTTATAACATCTAATAGGCTAATTCACAAACCCAAGTCCGAATGCAATATCGGGATTTGATCTCAATTTGACAAAGAATAAGCATATGAACAATGAAAGCATTACAAGAAGTAAAAGTTACTTTCAGCCAAACATGCTATACATTAATCCTACCCTGGTATTCAAGTTCTACATGACTAAATTAGTCCTTATTTGCTTGGATAATCACATATATAAACTCAAAAGGTCCACAAATCTCATCTCAGAAAACATTTTTTGATCTTCCTTCGACCATGGTTGTTAAAACTAGGTACTTGAGCGGACAGCCTACATATGGAATCTTTGCTAATGAGACGATAACATTTGATCAGACGGACGGCAAAGAGGCTAAAATCCATAACATGCTAGTTGGATGCAGCTACCCTTCCGATTTTGAAAAATACCAGGCGGTTCATGGTCTCATGGGGCTTGGATAGAACAACTATTCCTTGGCACTCAAAGCTGCTAATAAATTCGGAGGCAAGTTTTCGTACTGGCTAGTCAATCATTTCAACACCCAAAACGTGTCAAGCTATCTCATTTTCGGTTCCCACGAAAACATAGAATCTATTAAAACACTCAACAGAATGCAACAGACAGAACTTGTCCTAGGAATCCGTTCAAACTATGGTGTAAATATAAAGGGAATTTCTGTAGGCAACAAAATTCTTAAATTCCCAGATGAAGTGTGGGATGTGAAGAGTGGTGGAGGGATGATTCTTGATTCCGGTACAACTGCAACTCTTTTGACAGAACCTGCTTATGAACCTGTAATGGCAACCCTAACACCGTCATTAAAGAAATTTGCAAGATCAAATCTCACTATTGGACCGTTCGAATTCTGCTTTGATCAGACGGGATATAATGAATCTTTGGTGCCAAGATTGGCGTTTCATTTTGCAGATGGAGTACAGTTTGAACCCCCAGTAGAAAATTATGTGATTGATGTGAGTGATGGGGTAAAAGTGCCAGGGATTTGTTCAAATACCTTGGCCTGATCAATCTATTATTGGCAACATCATGCAACAAAATCACTTCTGGGAATTTGACCTTGCAAATAGTAGACTGAGTTTTGGTAGCTCCTCCTGCACCTAGATTTATTTAGCCAAAATTGTGTTTAAAGGAACCAATCACTTGGCATTGCAATTTACATTCCATTCTTTTACTAGTCATGATTTGTCGAGCATGTCGAGATATGTTTAGTATGAAATAAAGAACTTTAATTTCATTTTTCTTCTTCAATATATTCACTGCTACACAATACAATTAATCAAACAATACAATATACTCACATGAGGTTTAAAGCACTTCAAACAACCCAATGAATTCATCCAGGAAAATGATAAGAGAAACTAGAGTTTTCAAATTCCTCCAAACTTTCCTTGTTCTAAGATAGATATAACCACGAAGAGTGTCACCTATTGTTTAAAAGGCCAGACAATGATTGAAAAGAGCTTAAAATCACAACCCCGACCTTGACCACCGGATTCTACCCCCAGGCCGAAACATGCTCCACCCAAAGACTCGCCCTGTATCATATGTTATCCACTAGGGTTGGAACCCGGTGAATTTCTTGTGTCCTCAGCAATTCAAACTTATGACTTCCATAAAAAGGCACTTAAGTCGAATGTTGATATCAATTGGATCAGTCGATTTTATCATTACAATAAGGGGGCGAGATAAAAAGATATGCAAGAACTTTTACAAGCAAACAATATCGTAGAAGGATAAACATACACCATGTTTACTACACGGCATTGGAGATCCCTAATCCACATAGCCACTATTAATGCAGTCACCATTCACAGTGTACTCGCATAAATATGTGCCCTAGTCTTGTGAGTGACTAGAATAATAAAATCTTTAAATAAAAATAAAAATTAAGGGGCACAAAATCTACGTTGTAACATAAAAAAATAGAAGTTTTAAATTTCAAAATTAATGCCTTTTTAATTTTTAGTTTTTGTTTTTAATTTTCCGGTTTAATACAAATTTAAAACCTTAATTAAATGGCTTATTTACACGAATGTGGGGACTAAATTTGACCGTGTAGGGGAGTGATTTTCATTTTTTGAAACACGACTTGGAAGATGATTTTCCGTACACGTCATATTATCCCCTTGTTGGAGCTCCATTTTCCCATCAAATTGCGTTCTTAATAGTAATTTGACCACATTTCAGCCACACATTCTTCAATAAATTAATATTACACGCAAATCTAATTTTTTTTTTTTAACAACACATTCCCATCATAACACTATTGCAAATTCCATTTTTGAAAAAAATTGAGCACAAACATATAGTTTTTGACAATTTGAAAAATGTTCGTCGTTTATCTTCATGTGAACGTGCCCATAGAAGGAGAATTGATTGTGAGTCATATGAATTTTATTTTAGAGCAGTGTAATGTCGAAATTATCCACACAAAAGTGATGCAACATGATTTTAAGATAATGTTCTTGACGTGACTCCTTAATGCTTACTTTCAAAATCTTTTCTCATCTTTATATTATATAATTGTTGGATTATATTAGCCCATGTTTGGTAGAGATTAAAATTAGATTCTTAGCAAATTTCGATAAAAGTGATTGAAATGTATGGTTGAAAAATTGTGGATTCTATAAAATGTGTAGTTAAAATTAATTGTTGATTTCGACTTAAATTTGAATCAGAATTTTTAGTGGTACCAAACAAGTGCTTATTATTTTATTATTAATTGATAATCTACACAGAAATCACTCTTTTTTTTCCCAACAATCCGAACATACAAAATCTAGTCCTAGTTGGTTAAGAATAATTGCTTCTACAATCGAGATCTGGAGTTCAAGGATTGGTACCTCCCTTCCCTCCACTTCCCCTCAAAAAATAATAAGAATTGATCTCATTCATTTGAGAAAAAATCAAATAAAATAAGTTCACATCCCTTAGATTGGGTCTCTCCTTTGGTACACAATTGCCATAGTCCTTACACACACAGGGGCCAACAAATAAAAGACTATTTTCTCAAGTTCATTGAATACAATGTTTAAATAATGAAGGAACCAAATGCACAAAAATCTACTGGTTTACGACTGAAATTGCAAAGACCAAAGCATATTAGAAGTGTTCCACGTACCTATGAATGATGAAGAAGGGCGTGCCATTTTCGATTCCAAATCACCCAGCCCCAATTACTTTGATGCAGCAATTTCTGTCAAATTTGTGTATCAGTCAGCCATCGAAATATCTATTCTGATACAGAATGTTAAGGATATTTTTTTCTCTTTAGCATTGCATTTTAAACAAAATTCATCTCAAGCAGAATCCAAACCAAACGAATCTATACGATGAATATAATTTTTCACTACTCAATAATCGAAAATAAAATTCAGTATATTTACTGTATTGAATTTCCACGGAGTTGCCAAATTTTGAAGGGAATGGTTGAAAAATCCATCTCATCCAGGATTTCCATCAATACAGAAAAAAAGGAGGGAAGGAGAAGCTCGTTTGTGCAATTAGACCTTTAAACTATTGATGCTTTCTCCTCAAATGAATATTCCAATAAATTTTGTAATGTTTCCTTCATCCTGGAAAATTAATCCAGATTCTAATGCACAATGGAAGAATAATCAGACAGCACAAAATTAAGGCCCGCCCCATCCCACCATAAATTCACGGAAATAATAACAACTAGAAGACTAAATTCGGATCTGAATGCAATTATGTGGAATATTTATCCATTATTGAGGAATAATATATTATAGTAATAAGTATATCCACACCACACACACATATATATATACTAGGTGTAAGCAACGTGCAATGCACGTTTGCTTAGTTTATATTTAATAATTTCGTTTAAGCACTAATTTGTTATTAATAAAAATGTAATTTTTTTGATTAATTAAATAATTAATGATGTAATATTTATGTAATTGTTAAATAATTAGACGTTGTGATATATTAAAAAATATATTTATGTAATTGTAGGCTCCCACCTAAAATGCTTTAGAAATGACATCATCATTAAGCGCAACATGATTTCTACAAGGGAAGTGCTAGATGTACTCACCCATGTACTACATGGGTGAGTACATCTAGATTAATCCTTTCTACAATTGCAGCAACTGTACAATCTTGGACCAATCCCCTCAGCCATTTGATGACCAATATTAACACCACTTCACTACAAGCTGATTGAAATCAAGATCATTTCATGTCACAAGATCTTAAAGTTCTATCACTATATCAACAGAAAATTGGTAAAAAAAAATAAAAAAAAGAGTTGTACCTTCGTTGCCAAAACTCAAGAATGTATTGTAGCAAAAATTTGGAGAGTCCAGTTAATATTCTCCAT